ACTAGGAAATTCCTGTATTTCAGGTAAAAAGTACTACTAATTATAAACGTGGATACTATTAATATTATAAATACTTTTTAGGAGAATCTTATGAAATAAAATTAAACAGTTAAACAATAAATTGCCAATTTAAAAAAATGTACACTTTTTGTACACACAAGACAACATTTATTTTACGATAATAAATAAATTCTTTGTATCCTCATAGGACATATTTTGAAGAGCTTCTTGGAGAATTTTCTTTACCATAAAGCAACAGAAATTATAAATGGAATATTTGGCGTTTAATTTATTGTACAAAAATGGTCCAAGAAACACAAAAAATCTGATGATACTCATCAGCATAGGATATGATCTTTCCACCTTGTAAATCTAGGTTACAAAGGTCGTTAATGTAAATCAGAAAAAGTGTTGGTCCTAAAATACTTCCTTGAGGAATTCCAAATGAAGTGCACTTCAGATCAGAACTGTGAATGTCACCTATTTTAACACATTGGGATCGGTCCTCCAGGTAGTTTTCGAGTAATTTAAGCTGTATGCCCCTTATACCAAGCGATTCAAGCTTCTGTAACAGCATAGGGATGTAAACTGTATCAAAAGCCTTCGCTAGGTCTAGAAAAATACTTACAGTTTTGTTACCCTTGTCTAGTTCCCTTGCTACAAAATTCGTAAGGTTGATGCACGGCGTCAGATGTCGATAATTTAGATAATATGGAATGTCTCTCCAAATACAAGACAAGTCTATTGTTAATAATTTTTTCTAATATTTTAGATATTGCTGGCAGTAACGAAATAGGTCTATAATTAGTTATTTGTTCTTGGTTACCAGATTTATGTACCGGGACCACAACAGCTTTTTTTAAACACGTGGGGAATATTCCTTTTGTTAAACATTTTTGCAAAATGAGCGTAAGCGGTATAAGTAGAATGTGCCTGAATTGTTTTAGTATTTTGTTAGATATGTTATCACAACCAGTAGCACTATCGCTTTTTAAGCTTACAATTATTCTTTCAACCTCACTTTCATCCGTATCCAATATTACAAATGATCCCAGAGACTTACTACAGATTGATTGAGAGCAACGTGGTTGAATAAACGGAAAACTCTGGATTTTTTGTGCCACATTTTTACCTGCATTAACGAAAAATTCATTTGCTTTGTTAACAGCAATACGATCAGAGGATTGGCTTTTTAATAATCCTGTAGATGATTTATGCTGTTTCGATATGTAGGTTACCTTTTTTTATATATTTCCAAACCTTTTTATTGTCTGTACCAGCTTTTTCCAATTCTTTTTTATCATAACAGCTTTTAACTTTTTTAAGTAGGTCGTTACAAAAGTTCCTATATCTTTTGTATGATATTTGTAGAATTAAATTAGCTGGATTACTTTTTGCCTTCATATGTAGTTTATCCCTATGACGCATACAGCGAATAAGTCCTGGTGTAATGCAAGGTTTGATATTGTAATTTTTACTATTTAATCGCATGACCTTGCTATTACTTAATATTGATTGCTGTACATTATTTACTAAGTAAGACATACAATAATCCGCGTCATCGGAATTATAAACTGGGTTAAAGTCAATGTTGCATAAATCTTCTTCAAGTTTATTTATATTAATTTTAGAAATTATTTGCGTGCGAGTTGAATTAAGCAATTTACAATTTAAGGTTAGTAGGGCAGCTTTATGATCGGTTATTGTAGAGTTAGTAACTAATGTTATTGATTTAAAAATAGATTTAAGCATAATAGGGTCTAAGCAAGAGCCGCTTTGATGTATATGGAGAGTGTGGGCGGGTAGTAATCCATGAAAAGAGCATAGGTTTAGGTATTCTTGAGCACAGGAATCGATGCTATGTAGGAGAATGTTTATGTTTATGTCTCCTATTAATACTACATTTTTAAAAGTTGATAAAAGTTGTAACGTATCGTTAAGTGAGTCAGTAAACATTTTGGTATTTCTAAAAGAGGGGGGTCTGTACAATGCTAATATTGCAATGTCTGTTCCAATTTTGATTAGGAGCCGATTGCAGTCCAACATACTTGGTTCTTCAACCGAGATATTTAAATTATTCCTAGTATAAACCACTATACCGTCGTTCTGGTTGTAATTTTCTGTATAGCTGTATAAGCTATAGCCTGGCATGAGAGGTAGATTTCTACATTTATCTAACCAGCACTCTGTCAGAATTATGACATCACAGCTAATGTTCATTCTATGCTGAAAAGTACTAAAAGCGTCATAATTTTTGTAAATGCTGATTATGTTTTGTGTTAGTATGGAGAGAGGATTGTTAAAGGGTAATAAATATTGTCTGCACATTTCAACTTCACAAGACTTTGACTCTGATACAGAGAAATATCTAGATCGCGAACTAAACTATCACTCATTGTGTTTAATTAAATTAAGATCTATTACTGTAAGAAACTGTAACGCAGTAATGCAGTAATGCAGTAATTACTGATTGGCGGCCCAAATAGATAAGATAGCAGTATTTCCAAAAAATGCCACTGCCACTTAATATAAATAAAGTTTCCTTTTTCATAAGGTTTTGATATAATCTTTTAAAATGTTTTTCATTTACTCTTTCTCTCAAGAAGTTTTTGGTCAATTTGGTTTAAGTTACAAAATATTTTTATTTAAATGGACACGTTAGAGGTAATTTTTATGAGTTAAAAAATTATCTCCTCAAACAACATTTACAATATGCGTTTGTTACAATATGCTACAAAGTTCTGAACAGACAGTATCTGGATACAGCTACTTGGAGGCCACATTGAATAAACCTGTTGAAGTATAAATTCACGTGTAAAAAGCTTTGAAAATGAATACAAAGGTTACTTTGAACAAATTTTGAAAAAATTTAAAAAAAATTTGAAAAACAAGATTTTACACGGATCATGACGACACCACCGTAAAATCTATCAAACGCCGCCTCTCGCCGACGCAGTAGCCGGCGCCGCTGCCGCCGCCGCCGTTTCTATGATCGACCTACGTTTCTAGTACCTAGATTTTAGGTTTTATGGGACCTACGACAGTAGCTTCACACACACAAACACGCAAGTAATATGCGCTTTTATGGATATATTCTACAACATAATTTTTTTTTTCAGTCATAATATGTAGTAGGTACCGGTATTCCTTTATAAATAACATGGAATTAGAAATACAAGTATACAATGTATATTTATAGACAACCAAAGGACAAAAACCGCATTATCCTAAAGTGGAGCTAATTAGTTACTTCATTTGTACGCGCTTGTTTTGTGGTTCAATAAATAGCTACAAAAGCCAATATCCATAAGAAAGGCCATCAAAGTCATAACGAGACAACTTGTAAGGCTCCCCTACTCCCATTTCCCAGTGGTTTCGTTTTATACCCGTTCTCTGCCACCCACTAGTTTTATGTCCTGTATTTGTGACGTTTTACCGCCAATACCTTGGCAGGGTCATATGTAGGGATGTTGGCCTCATTTTTCTTCATTAGTACGTATTATGTGGCTTAATATTACACAGTTTTTTAAAGTGAAAAAACTTACATAGTAGTAATATAATAGTTTAAAAAAAACATGGAAACGTTGTTGTAAAGAAAACATATTATCAAAAGAAACAAAGTATAAAAATCAACATTTATTATTTTTTTAATGTATTATATAAAAATATATATTATATCCTTGTTTTGAAATACTTTAAAGTTAATTCATTTTACCGCAGCTACTGTAGCCATACGCGTATTTGTAGTTCCATACTTCGCAGTGTCTACGAGTACAATAAAAGTTAAGCTAGTTACATATTACGTGCTATGAAGTGGCTTCGAGTGCAATAAGCCAGTTACGTATTACGCGCTGAGAAGTGGCTACGAATGCAATTGTAGCCAAGCCAGTCACATTAATTATTACGTGCTGTGTAGTGATTTCGAGTGTAATAAGCCACTTACGTGCTACGTACTATGTAGTGGCTATGAATGCAATTGTAGCCAAGCCAGTTACATATTACGTGCTGTGTAATGGCTTCCAGTGCAATAAGCCAGTTACGTATTACGCGCAAAGAACCTATGAATGCAATTGTAGCCAAGCCAGTCACATTAATTATTACGTGCTATGTAGTGATTTCGAGTGCAATAAAATTATCTACACGTTTTATTAACTAGATACTATTATCGAATTAAGTGACATTTAGGCTGTTACTTTTCAATAGCCGATATGTTGTCACGCGTGTTGCATATGTTACTGCAATGTATCTTGAACTCTCTGTTGGAATACAATATACGTAATAATAAAATTTTAGAAAAACTGAGTCTGTACTTCTAATATTTTAAAGTAAAAGGCACGCTACTAAGCCTTAACAACATTTTTTAGAATTTTTGTTTCTGTCTGTGCGCGGTGTACGCTAATTTCCAAGAACCAAACGGTATGTGATTTCCAGTGATGTATTGAGACATTTGATATTGTTTGTTTGGTTTAAATTATTTTTTAATTATGTTTAGCGCACATATTATATGGCCACCAAGTGATAATGCGAAAAAAAATTAGTATCTCTTATTACGAGTGTCAGAACGGCATCCTAACGGCATCGTAAAAATGGTCGCAGGCAGGTTGATTGTCCAATTCTAATTTAGAATTCAAATCTTTTTCTTATGTAGTGTATTAAACAACTACATGCGAATACGTGACTAACAATTTATATTGGTCTATTATAAAGGCTTTATTTAAAAATAATGTATATTTTATATTCTTTTAAAGTCGTCCGATGCGCGCGCTGACCAAATGGTTACAAAATACGTAAAAATAGTGTACCACAAAATTATTGGTTAATAGATCGACAACAAAATCAGTTACACGATAATGTTTAGCTTTTATATTGAAGCTACAATAATGTTTTTTTTTATTATAAAAATTAATATATCAATCACGGGAATAATTTTTACAATAGAAAATTTTCCCTTTACAGCATGTTATTTGGTAACATAGTTTAGGAGGTAGGATACGCAGGTGATACACGTTTGCTCGCAGGAAATCGCGGGTATAGCTTGTACTATTCAAATAGTACAAGGGTCGTACAAGCTGTGCTCTTTAGCTCTTCAATCAAACGACGTTGTTGGTGCACGGTTGCTGGACGTAGTTGAGGCAGAAACCTCTGTTGTCGATGTCAATTGGAGCCTCTACGTTGTCAGTGTGGAACCAAAGGCGGAACGGCTTTACAGTGCCTGAAATTTTAAAAAGAATACATTGTATTAACATGTACTATTTATGTATGTAATGAACATTGACATGTATTAATAATTATAACAAACTAGTATGAAACCAGTGGAGTAATTTCACATAAAAATAATTGAATATCAATAAAATAAAAATTTAAATACAATGAGTAGCGACATCTCTAGCCAGGGCTGGTAGCTATAAAGGTATTTAACTGGGTAACTAAATACTTAAGATTTCTCATAGATGGCGCTACGGCTAAAAAGTCGTTGAAAAAACCAAATACAAAGACACGATAACAAGCACATAGAAAAATTCGTGAGGTCCGCTGGTTCGTTCAGTGGCTTAGTTGGTACAGCGTCTGCCACGGTATGGTAGAAGATGTCTGTTCGAATCCGGAAGTATCGAAGGATTTTTTTCTGAGAGTTCGATCTTTGGATTAATAGTTATAACAAACCAGTGGAGTAATTTTGCATACAAATAATTGAATATCAATTCAATAAAAATTCAAAGAAGACACTTATAAAATCTAAATCAAATATTAACCTCCTAATATCCCGCAAACTTAGGTATTAGGAAAAGAGCTAAACGCCTAATGTAATCACATTAAAATGTATTAAATATAAAGGCCTAAGTAGGTATGAACTCAGTTTTACACGAAAAACTCATTTTTCCAGGTAGCAGTAGAGCTCCTTGTGAAAGAGTTCGTCTTGGTAAGTACTGTCACCTAACCTATTTCTGCCGCCAAGCAGTAGTGTGAGCATTACTATGTTCCGATTTTAAAGGTAAGGGTGCTGGTGAAATTACAGGCATATGGAACCTAAATGATTATCACTAGTATCAGGTTTCTTACCACGGTATGACTTCTTTTTATTTTCCCGATATTTCGGAACGGTTGCACGCTCCATGGTCACGGGTTGACTGGACGGCGGCAGATGACAGCTTTATGAGCAGACATATCTGTCTACCCTCTTGCGCTGTCGACGACTACCTTCATCGCGATTTGTTGTGGCGTTACCAATGACACTCACTTTTTTCACACAAACCACACTCACTGTATCCACACGCGAA